TAAAGAGATCAAGTGATGGTTAATAAATACAGCTTATTATGTGCTTTATTCGTTGATACAAATCTTGATATTTAGGAATGCATAAAGGGTAAAAGGCTCACTTGCATCCATGAACCTTTGCGGTCGTTTCTCTTGTTGAAAGATACCTGAGGATTGGTTCAAAGATGAAGATCTGAGAAAATCCCGCAAAGGTTCTTGGATGCACGTGAGTCTTTAATCTATGCCTAACCAGTTTTTATGCTATGTAGTTGTCCTTTACTTAAGCCATACAAGCAAGTATGGCTTTTGGTGATTGTAGGAACCATTTGGCCAATCACTATTACTCTGAGGGGAATCATAGCCATTGGGACCAGTGTTGGACCAGCCGTCTGCTTTGGAGCCTTTCCTCAGTACTCCCACCCCCATGCAGTAGTCTTTCACMYCTGTATTTCCCTGCTTGTTGARTGAAGCATAAGGATATGAYCCCCCATGGCTTTGAAATGGCATTATCCCATACTTGTTCTGGTAGCATGTCTGGCAAAGGACAAAAAGACATTTACTGACAAAGAAAAAGATTTCACGAGAAACGCTGAAAATCGCAGATYTCTGCATTATTGCTAACAGAGAAGTGTTCTCGTAGTGAGTTCATCTTCAGGTCTCATTCGAGGGACGTTTCGATTCTTGTTTTTTAACCATCTTCGACCAAAAGAGGTACAAGKTTTTTTTGTATCAAAACATAGGATCGATGAGATGCCGCGAAAGAAATTATAGAACTAAAATAGGTAAAATGAAACTATTGCAACATTTTTCAAAACTTGACCAATCGAATATAACAGTTATTGACTAATAAAACTGTTATCCAATCAGATCAAAGCGTCCCTATGATCGTGTTTTATCAATTTGAAATATGATTGGCTCATTCAAAACCTCTGAATGGATTTGTCAGTGTTGTCCTGGGACTGGTAGCCGCAGTACTACAGAAGTCAAATAWCTAATRTAAGTAAAATGAATACACCGTAATACCTTACGCTTTCCATTCCAAGCCCTCACTTTAACGGCCCTTGCCGTCGCTGATTTAACTTTTTTATAGCCCACGGCGTGATTCCACCATGTACCGATCTCYCTACCAGGCGGTAACTTCCATTGGACCCATTTTGCTCCAACACCCAAAKCATTCTCTCCGCTCGAAAACATGATCACTGAGGAATGTTTCACAGCAAGAAGTCGTGAGTCRAGACATCCGTATTTTACGTTCTTGTTGGGTAGTTTTGGGGATTTGAGAACTTCCWCATTCACGTTTTTCACCAGCCATGATTTGTAGATGTTCCCTGCCTGGCCACTTATTTTACCGACGAGAGTCCATCCACCCATTTTCATGTCACAAAAGGTCTGCACGGCGTTGCCTTTGTCAGAAGTCTTTATCCAGTAAATTCTGTTCTGTCTCGCTTTTCCTGCGGCGACTTTTTCTTCGTAGATTTGTCTGCAGGAACTGGCCGGATTTTCTTTTGTTCCAAGTCGAACATTTTTAACTATGTTGCATATTTGTCCTGTGGAGACTTTCGGGATGACCTTGGYCAGAAGAGTGACTTTAATGTTGTCGTAATATGACTTGCATCCTGTTGGGCTGCCTGAGTATATAGAATGACAYCCTAACCCTACAGTCCCCCTGGGAATCATCCACTGTTTATCWACAGCTRCGTCCTGTATCAGTTTTCCGTTAGCCCACTGCTTTATCTTGTTACCYTCAACGCGATACTTGAAGTGGTACCATTTGTTTTTGAGGAGTTTTTCAGGTAAGTTGCATCTGTATTTCCAGCCACCATCTTTATTGCTTTGGAAAGGTCTCATTGTACATKCTTTGYGGTCCGTGTAATATTCAAACCACCAGGCTGTAGTTTGTTTAAGGCTTGGATTCATGATTCTTAGAAAGGATCCTGGGTAAACTGTATTGGCACCTGTTTCCATGAAATCAAGCTCAACTTCAACGTCCTTCCATTGTTGTCCTTCTTTGATGTACAAACCAACTTCTCCGTWTCCATGTGATGATTTCCCTGTCTTGCCGTATAATTTCCCGTKTTTAACGCTCCAGTCGCCCCAGTTTTGCTTCCATCCATCCAATGAGCGACTTTCAAAATTGTCGTAAAAGGCAAAAATCTTTTTTGGATCAGCTTTTGCAAGGTCATTGTGTTTACCTCCAAATACGAGGACGTAGGACTTTCGATCGGAGCTACCAGCAGGAATAGGTTTCTGGGTACGAAAGTGCACAGTCGTGTTTTTTGTGTTAGGTTTGGAGATGAATCGATCAATTTCCACAGGCAGGGAACCTTTTTTTGGCAGGTAGAATACACGAAGATCGTGACCGTTCATTTGCGATTGTTTCTGATCTACCAAAGTTTTGTGGTCAACTGAAAGTAACATGAACTTCGTGAGTCATGTGTAAAACCAAAGGAAACACTACTTTTGATTGCAGCGTTTTGCAAAAAATCAAAGTGAATGTCAACAACATTCAATTACCTAATTCTCACTATAGTCTCGCGCATTTAAAGGGACACTGTCAATGGATGACATGCGCAGTAACAGTCTCACCTCTAACGGACTTTGAAAGTATAACCTTCGAGGTAAATCATTTTGTGGTGCTTTTGACACACTTTGGAATATTCTAGATCTGTTTACGTTTACGATCTGATTTATGTCGCGCCAACTTGGAGTCATAAACTTGAAAACACTAGCCTAGTGTTTTCAAGTTTACTCGCGCATGTCATCCATTGACAGTGTCCCTTTAA